GGGTCCTTTTTTTTGCGGGTTGCCATGGACCCCTGCTGGGGCAGCTTGTGTCTCTGTTTCCTTGTCGTGGTTTGACCTTGACGGTTTTGCTGCTTCGCGCTGCCGGCATGATTCTCACCCTCACCAAATGTGTTGAGACTGCGGGCGGAACCCCAGTCTTCAAGTGTGTGTGTGTGTGTCTCTGTGTTTCTCTGTGTGTGTCTCTGTGTGTGTCTCTGTGTGTTTCTCTGTGTGTGTCTCTGTGTGTCTCTCTGTGTGTCTCTCTGTGTGTCTCTCTGTGTGTCTCTCTCTGTGTCTCTCTCTGTGTCTCTCTCGGTGTGTCTCTCTCTGTGTGTCTCTCTCTGTGTATCTCTCTCTGTGTGTCTCTCTCTGTGTGTCTCTCTCTGTGTGTCTCTCTGTGTGTGTGTGTCTCTGTGTGTCTCTCTCTGTGTCTCTCTGTGTGTCTGTGTGTGTATCTATGTTTGTCTGAGTGTGTGTGTGTGTGTGTGCGTGTGTGTGTGTGTGTGTGTGTGTGTGTCTGGGTGTGTGTGTGTGTCTCTCTGTGTGTGTGTCTCTCTGTGTGTGTCTCTCTGCGTGTGTGTGTGTCTCTGTGTGTGTGTCTGTGTGTGTGTGTGTGTGTCTGTGTGTGTGTGTGTGTCTGTGTGTGTGTGTCTGCGTGTGTGTGTCTCTGTGTGCGTGTCTGAGTGTGTGTGTGTGCGTGTGTGTGTGTCTGTGTGTGTCTCTCTGTGTGTGTCTCTCTGTGTGTGTGTCTCTCTGCGTGTGTGTGTGTGTGTCTCTGTGTGTGTTTGTCTCTGTGTGTGTGTCTGTCGGTGTGTGTGTGTGTCTGTCGGTGTGTCTGTTTGTGGGTGTGTGTGTGTGTCTGTGTGTGTGTGCCGGTGTGTGTCTGTGTGTGTGTGTGTCTGTGTGTGTGTTTGTCTGTCTGTGTGTGTGTCTGTGTGTGTGTGTGTCTGTCTGTGTGTGTGTGTTTGTCTGTCTGTGTGTGTGTGTGTCTGTGTGTGTGTGTGCGTGTCTCCGTGTGTGTCTCTGTGTGTGTTTCTGTGTGTGTGTGTGTCTCTGTGTGTGTGTGTGTGTGTCTGTGTGTGTGTGTGTCTGTGTGTGTCTCTGTGTGTGTCTGTGTGTTTGTGTGTCTGTGTGTGTGTGTGTGTCTGTGTGTGTGTGTGTCTGTGTGGTGTGTGCGTGCGTGCGTGCGTGCGTGCCTGCGTGCGTGCGTGCGTGCGTGCGTGGGTGGGTGGGTGGGTGGGTGGGTGGGTGGGTGGGTGTGTGTGTGTGTGTCTGTGTGGTGTTTTTGTGTCTGTGTCTGTGTCTGTGTCTGTGTCTGTGTGTTTGTTTGTGCGTTTGCGTGTTGATTGTTTGTGTGTGCTTTTGTTATATATATGATATATGAATATATATATAATATATTTCTTTCTTTCTTTCTCTATTCATTTCTTTATTTATTTTGTTGTTTATTTCTTTCCTTCTTTCTTTCTTTCTTTCTTTCTGTGTTTCTGTGTTTTTCTGTTTGTTTGCGAGTGTTTCTTTGTTTCTCAGGTTGTGTGTTTGTGTGTTTGTCTGGCTGTCTTCCTGCCTGTCTGTCTGTCTGGTGGGTGGGCGGGCAGGTTGGTTGATTCGTTGCTTGGGTGGGTGGCTGGGTGGCTGGATCGGCGGGTGGGGGGTGTTTGGGTGGGGCTCGTGTTGTTTGTGTTGTTTGTTTTGTGGCGATGTTCTGTCTGGCTCTGGTTTGTACTGTTCTGTTGTCTTCTGTATGTTGCGTTGTTTATCGGTTCATTCGGTTGTCTCACATGGGTTTTGGTTGGTTGGTTCGTTGGTTGGTTGGTTTGATTGATTGATTGGTTGATTGACTGATTGATTGATTGTTTGATTGCTTCTTTGACTGATTGGTTGATTGATTGACTCGACTGAGTTGGTTGGTTTGGCTGCCTTTGATTGGTTTGGTTGGCTTGGTTGATCTGATAGATTTTGCGTATGTTGCTGACGTGTTTGGTTTTATTGGTTGATTAAATCATTGGTTGGTTGGTTAACTGGTTGACTCATGAGTTTGATTGGTTGGATTAGTTCGTGTGTTGATTGGTGGATTGACTGAGTGGGTGATTGAGTGACTGTGTGATTGACGGATTGCTGGAGAGATTGATTTGATTTGCTTAATCGATGTGATTGGATCGAACTGATTTGATTGGCTGGTTGATTGATTGGTTGATTGGTTGGTTGCTTGACGAATTGATTGGGCGAGTGAATGAGTGAGTGATTGGTTGATTGATTCACTGATGGACTGATTATTTGACTGATTGGTATGTGAGAAAAGGCCCAACGGTCTGCTGACTCCGCGTTGGTGGAAACAGCCGCAGCTCAACCAACTTGCGGGTGCTAGAACTAGCGCCTCTGCAAACCACCCATTTTACTTCACATGCCGCCTGCCCTTAGCCTTCACCATGCAAGAAGCACACACGTACACCAAACGAAGCAACCAAACCAAACAGGCAAGCAAGCAAGCAAGCAAGCAAGCAAGCAACCAAATCATAAGCGTAAACGAATCAATGAGAAATCAAAGACACACGAATCATACAATACAAAGATGTCAACCAACCAACCAACCAACCAACCAACCAACCAATCAATCAATCAACCAACCAAGCAAGCAATCAAGCAAGCAAGCAATCAAATCAGCTAATCAACCAACCAACCAACCAACCACAACCAACAACCAATCAACCAAATCAAGCGACCAACCAACACAGCAACTAAGAAACAAGCCAACCAATCAGCTAATAAGTCGCCCAATCGATCTGGAGCTTTTACCTCTTGTTGTTGTGAGTGCATGCCATTGATACACGAACCAGCTGAATCAGTTTTCTCAAGGGCCTGGGGTATGCTCCCTCATCTTACCCCGCAGGGGGCCATCTCTCCAAACCCCCTACTCCAAATACCTTTTTGTTTGTTAAGGGTATGATGTCGTCCCTCTACTAGAAAAGGAGGTATTTACAATGGAAACCCAGGTTGTTCCAAAAAAGTGGGTATTTGGAGTAGGGGGAAGGCGTTCCCATGCCAATGACCCGTGTTCCTGCGGTTGGGCCTCAGGTGTTCATGACGGCGTGAGCACGCAGAACAGTGAGCTTGCGATCCAGGAGCTGCGGACGACTCTTGGCGAGGAACCGTCGCAGTGAGGCTTCGGTCCTAGCCGATCCACTTGAGGCAGACGCGCGTGGGAATAGGCGCCAGCCACCAAGCACAGTGCGAAACAGGTGATCTTTACGCAGACTGGGTGATGTATGCACTGCTGGCCCTTGGTGGCCTCTCAGTCAACTCACTGTTCATCCGCCTATTGACCCCTAGGTTCTGCGAGTTGCTGCTTGCAAAGCCATGGCATTTTCTGGAGTCTTGCCTTGCTCAGCTCATCTTACGTAGCACGATCGCTCGGGCACCTCCATGCTTTTCGCAAGTGTCAAGATGATTTTGCTTCAACTGGGCATGTGTCCAAACCAAGGGGGGAACCCTAAAATGTGGATGGCGTCCCTTGGGTTTCCACTCGGCTTCCCGTGAAAACAACCGCGCAACCCTGTCATCAAAAGGAATGCCAACATGTTTTCCAGGAGTTGCCCGTCTTGGGAGAGGTGCGTCATGGTGCGTCCATTTGCCATTCCGAGGAGGCTGGCACCTCTAATCAGAGAGGAGCCGAGCCTCGAGGTGATCGAAGCATCTCCACTCAATTGGGCGAGTGAGGGCTGACCAGGAGCTTTGCCCAACATGGTTGGAGGATCCACCATGAGGGTGTGTCCCTAAAGCCCAAACAGGGTACTGAGCTTCAAACAAATTGACGGAGTTGCAAGTCAGAGACAGGACGCCGAAAAGACAAGAAAGGCTCTCAGAACCTCCCTGGAGGGATCTCACAAAGCAATTCCGGCAGTTATGTCAAAGTCATGCTAGCAGGAGTTCAACTGGCCCTTCACCTTGCGTCAGTTGCTTGATTGACCTTCTCCTGAAATTGGCCAATACGCCCTTGCTCCCGCCAATCCTTGCCAAGCGGGCTAAAGCCTATACGTACATGCACAAGGATACACATGGGTTCAATTTCATCAGACGAGATGCTGATCGTTGTACGCCGACCTTTACATTTAGGTCTTGGTCAGGATAGTTGACATGGTCGTGAACGGCAATGTGTCGCGCAGCTTTCATGCTGAGGGCTGACTTAGTTTCTGCACTTCAGGACTTTGCGGAAAGGCCGGACATTGGCAGCCCTGATTATTTATATATGCAACAGGCAGCAGAGCACCTCTCTAGCGTCCTTAGAGCCAGTGGTTTTGCTACCATGGGCACAGCGGGCGTATTGGGCGAGGGGAGACAGGGCCAAGCAAGCCAGATTTGGCAGCTGCTTCATCTAGAACGAGGATGAAAAAGGTAGCTCTCGCTTTTTGCAACCATAAGGTTCACTTCGCATTAATCCGGAGGACCCCGCTAGTGAAAGGAACCCCCCAAAAAGAAGTCGAGCATGTCCTCAATGGGGAACCACAGCTGATTACGGTCCTCCGGATGAATGCGAAGTCAACATTGTGCGCTAGACCCATTGCTATCAATACTCTTTGGAGAGGGTCGACAGACGCATCTTTTGAAGACGTGTTCATTTGGGCCTGCCTTTGGCCTGTTGGTAGGCAACCATGACGGATCTGGGGCGAAGATCCCAACCTCATATGCCAAACGCCGGAACTATGTGTTTTTTGTTTTGGTTCTGAGGGGCAGGAAAGAACGCGCAAACGCGGTTTACCAAAAAGTACTCCGGAGAGCAGTCAAAAGACCCCCCCCCAACCCCCTAACCACCCCGAACCCCAACCACGGCCCACCCAACCCCAACCACAATACCACCAACCAACCACCCCCCAACCTCTCCCTCCCCCCCAACCCTCAGGCTTCATTTAGGTTTCACATATCCGAGGAAGTCTGGTCTGCCCGTGTGCCGATTTTGAAGCTCCGCTTCCAGCACCTTCCGGTGGAGACTGTGACAGCAGATGTTTTCGCAACCGGGGACGGGAGAACCCACTTCAGTGGGGTTGAACTGAGGGTAGAGATGGTAGAGGATGCAAACTTCCATTTCCTGAAATGAAGATGCTTTGATTGATTGTTTCACTTGAGGCTTTTAACCTGACCAAGTTTTAGCGTTGATCCAGGTAGGATGCCAAGGCGGGCATACTGCAGCATATTCGAAGGTTTAGAGTTTAGGTGTGGGGTTTTGGCTTTGGTTACAAGCTAACTTCCATTTGCTGAAATGAATATGTTTATGATTTCCCCTGTATGTTTAAGGCAATTTATCACTACTGGCAATATGTACTCATCTTTTCCAGAAGCTAACGCCCAAGTGAAAGAGAAATGCCAACAACTTGCAGGAAGGTCCATGCACGGCAAGCGACATGCACAAATATTACAATCCGCTGGAAAAGCGAATTCCAGCGGCAGGAACCTAGAGCGAATTCCAGCGGCAGGAACCTGAATTCATGGCCCAAGGCTTAGCTTTGGGCTATCAATCTGCCGGTTTCGACTCTTTCGACCCTGTGGCCCGCCCCACCGTCGGGGTTCATTGAACACCCCAGGGCAAGACATCCATGTTTGCCACTCCGCGAGAAGAATGCTCACCATAGGTGTCCTTTTTGGTTGTTTTGCTAGAAAAATAGATGGCCCTGGTTTACCTGGTGGTTTAATCATCTAGCAGGGATATCCATCTATTTCCCTTAAAAGGACACCTATGCTGCTCACAATGCTCGGTCGCTTAGGACCTGTCTTGCCGGGATCTCAGGGCTTGGGCGTCTGGAAACGGATGCAGGCTGGTGAGATACGCTTGAAATACTGGGTGATGAATAGCGCATTGCGTACCCAAAAGAAAACAAAAAAGGGGATGGGTAGTTGGAATTGTTTTGCAAGACCCCTTCTTCAACACTCTACAATCCCTAGCAGAAGGGACATGAGAAGTTTCAAGCGTTCTTGAATGCAAGAATGGATCGGAAGCTTCACAGTTTGACCCTCGGCTTGGCAAGCTCTCCGCTTGCAGTAAGAGTTTGTCAGAGTTTACCGGCGATTGGTGGGAACCTTTTTTTGGGCATATTCAATGAATCTAAAGAAGCGCATTGAATATGTTTCTTTTTGATGTTTTTGCTGTAGCTGTGTTGAAGGGCCCCTGAGCTTTCTTCCGCACATGCGGGGTTGCCTGAAAGCATCAGCTGCATGCGCTTCTCCCTGGCATGTTCCCCAAGTGGACCGACAGGACCATTGACAACCATACGGAACTGCAAAGAAAAGAAGATACATTCCTTGGTGGAAGCCATAAGCCACAGGTCCAAATGAACGAGAAACCTTTTGTCCATAGTTGTTGTTAGGAAACATTTCACATTTTTGCCTGTTGTGGTTTAGTGCTTGAAATCCAAATCCACTGAACTGCTTAAATTCAAATTGTTGCTCCCCTTTCCAGGCATCCCCTTAGCTTTTTTTGCCTTTTAGTGGTTCGGGGTAGTTTGCTCCCCTTCCAACGTCCACTTGGTGTGACTGTCTTCTGCGGGTTTCGTGAAGTGATCCGAGGCCACAACTTGGAGGCACTGCAGCAGCTTGGCATCGTTGGCCAAGTTGGAAACCGTTGTGCAACGACAAGAAGTTTTGTTTCATGGTGGTGGGAGTTTTTGCTTTTTTTTTGTTCGCCCTAGTTGCTCCCAAGAGATCCCGGGAGGGGGGGATCCTACAAACATAAAGCGCACATGGGGAACCTGAAGCGTCAGTTGGGATTGCCCACAAGGGCTTCACGCTTCCGACAAAAGCATTGACTGCCGATTTGTCCTGGGCATTCTTGAATCAAGCACTAGTCAGAAGTGTGGCACATACTCAATCTGAGAATTTGAGGGTCAAGCACGCCCAAAGGCATGCATTCAACATTGTCTTTTGGAGACCAACGTGCTGAAATAAGGGAAGCAGGCTGACATATCCCATAGAGACGGTGTGTAGATGTTGGAAGGAAGGTCCAGTGCAATGTGAGAAATCAGCTGCCACACAGGCACCCGTTCAGCCAATGAAAGTCGAGCAAATCTGTACGCATGTTGGCGCCTCCCAAACTTTGAAAGCTACCTATGCATGGTCCCTCGGCAAATGGACCATGGGAAACCCACCGGGAATTTGAAAGCCTGTTGTTTTTGTCGGAGTCATCTGGCCTGGTGAGCCGATCCTGCAGCTTGCCCAGTCTGGATTAAAGACCACACATTTTGCTTGCGAAGATCTTTGTATCAGTCAGGTGTGACGTTGTAGTTTGCATTGTGCTTGGAATAATCTTGCGGTTGAGAATGAACCAGGGGATGTGCTTAAAGGAAACCATGGGGGATGGTTTGTGGTCATTCCCTCATTCCCTGAGCAATCTAACCTGTGTGCGTCAGTCGACCAGCCTGCGTAAATGCCTCAATGATTTGGCCGAGGAACACCTTGTTTCTCAAGGTGCCATGGCAGCAATGATCAGCGACAAACATGTGGGACTCAGTTGGAGTCAGAGGGAAACCACTGTTTTCGTTGATGTTGGGCATTTGATTGAAGGCCCACGGGCACGTCGGACCCTAAATATACAAAACCATGGCGTATTGCTGTTGTCCATTATTTTAGTCATGTGCATATATAGATATGGCATGTGTATATATATATATATAATCAAAGGAAGTTTAGTTAGAAAACTTCCGTAATACGAAAAGTAGAGTTAGACATGCGCAACACGCGAAGGGTACCTCTGTTCAGCATGCGGGATCGCCACGGGGTCGGAATGTTTGGCACGGCACCGCAGACTGTTTCGGAGGTGCAAGTCGCGTGACAGGCGCAGCACTTTGGCAACCTGAGGTGCAGATTTCGTGGCAGGCGCTGCATTTTGTGCCCGTGCAAGGTCAAGTACAGATTTCGTGGCAGGTGCAGCATTTTCGCAAGATCGTGCAGATTTCGTGGCAGGCGCAGCACTTTCGCAAGGTCAGGTGATAGATGGATAGGAAGGTAGGAAGATACATAGATAGATAGATCGATCAGCAAGGTCGAGTACAGATTTCGTGCCAACCAGCACTTTCGTAAGATCGAGTACAGACTTCGTGGCAGGCGCAGCACTTTCGCAAGCTTAAGTACATATTTCGTGGCAAGCGCAGCGCTTTCGTAAAGTCAAGCACAGATCTCTTTGCAGGCGCAGCACTTTTGCAAGGTTAAGTATAAATTTCGTGGCAGGCGCAGCACTTTCGCAAGGCCAAGTACAGATTTCGTGGCAGGCGCAGCACTTTCGCAAGGCCAAGTACAGATAGATGATAGAGAGATAGATAGATAGATAGATCTAATGGAAAGAGAAAGAGAAAGACAGAGAGATATAGAAAGAAAGAAAGAAAGAAAGAAAGAAAGAAAGAAAGAAAGACACAAATCACGAAAGACAGAAATGAAGAAATAAAGCAGAAAGAAAGAAATCAGGAAAAAAAGAAAGAAAGAAAGAAATAATGAAAGAAAGAAAGAAATGAGAAAGAAAGAGAGAGAGAGAGAGAAAGAAATGAGAAAGAAAGAGAGAGAGAGAAAGAAAGAGAAAGAGAAAGAGAAAGAGAGAGAGAGAAAGAGAAAGAGAGAGAGAGAAAGAGAAAGAGAGAGAGAGAAAGAGAAAGAAAAAGGAAAGAAAGAAAGAAAGAACGAAAGAAAGAAAGAAAGAAAGAAAACGAGAAATCAAGAGCGCAACCCAAAAAACAAGTCAAGCTCTTCCTATAGGCACTCTTCTCGCTTTAGAAACTTCCGTCCACCGGCTGCGCCGGCCCTACTGATTTACATGTTTCTTTGTGGAATGTCTTGCTAAGAAAATTTCATAAGCGCATTTGCTTATGTACATGGACCTTTCCCTATTTAGCTACGGGGTTCAATGCTGGTGCGAAAATCGACGCCTGGTCTCCCTTTGGCATGAGCGCTGTTGGTGCAGGTCCGGACCTAGCTGCAACTGCCTGAGTTTGATGGCACAATCTGCCGTATGCCTAGCAATTCTCCGGGCGAAAGCTGGGTACTGGGAATCCCGGATTGATAAGCCCTTGCTTGATTCTAGGGGGTGTCCCCTTCCGGGGATTTACTGTTGGAGGGAACACCCCCGTATTGATGGGAAAGGTTTCTTAGTTCGGGGTCAACATTGTTCCTTTCATCCTGGCAGACCCAAAAATGGCACCCAGAGTTGCTGGAACAATAATCCTTGCATAGGTGGCGCCCTTTACTGTGTGCTGACACACTCGCACATATCATGTCCAAAAACTTACATTGCACATGCATGCATGTGTATACGCACATATGTAGGTGCATATAGACTATACAAATATATATATATATATGCATATGTGCGTGGTGCGTTGCGTGCTGCCAGTCTCGCTTGTGCAGCGCGCGGACAAACATGACATTTGTACAAACAACTGCCTAAGTTGCTTCCGCGTTCGGACCCCACATCGTGTTTCCATGTTTCGCAAAAGCTGTGAACGAAACTTTGCAAAGGTCTACCATGTTGTGAAGCCCCAGGATGACATTTGGACAATCGGTTCAATAATTTGGCGCTTGCGAAAAGAAAACCCTGCCAGCGGAAGCCCTGTGAAAGGGCGGCACGCCAAAGCGAGTTACAGACTCATTGGGCAAGGAGAGGCTGATTGACGGGAGTTTGCTTGGCATACTACACTTATGAAAAGTTGCGACGAAGCTGCGGCTGCCAAAAGTTCTAGTCTGCTACACGGTGCACTGCGGAAAACCAACGAACTCCCGCCGAACCAAGAAAATGAGAAACACGAAAGGGGCATGTTGGAGAAATTTCACCACCACTAAGGAAGCTGTTAAGCCTTGGTGGCTCTGGCTGTCCAAACCAGTCGGAGCGACGCGTTTGTGCCGAGTGCTGTGAGGCTTATTCGCACCTGAGCCCGTTTGTGAAGAAGCTGGTGGTGTTCGTCAAGCAGCTTGCAGCCAATGGAGAGGCGATAGGTTGGAATTGGAACTGAATGACCTCATTTTTGCATCGCCCTCCGAAAATCATCAAACGTGTGTATATATATATATATATATATTAATATATTTGTGTGCGTCTAATTCCAGGGATGACGTTGGCGTTGGGTTGTAGTTTTTTGGGTGGGGAGGGGGGGCATGAATGCAGCCAGAGAGAGAGAGAGAGAGAGAGAGCGAGAGAGAGAGAGAGAGAGAGAGAGAGAGAGCGAGAGAGGGAAACAGAGAGACAGAGAGAAAGAGAGAAAGAGACAGAGACAGAGAGAGAGCGAGAAAGAGAGAGAGAGAGAGAGTGAGGGAAGGAGAGCATTCAATCAGAGCAAGTATAGTAAATGCAAAACAGGACGCAAGCACTAGGCTACAAGTTCTGTGTGGCACTGGAAGTGTGGCAACCCCCCCAGGCTAGGATTGAGCATGCTTATTGCAAGCCTTCTCACTTAGACTCAACCAAGCAGAGATAACCACTGAGTTGTCCTGCAAGTGTCCCAGGCTAAGAGATGCTCAGAGCAAACCAAAGCACGGCACAATGCGAGCCTGGAGTAGCATATGTTAAATCCAAAACGAGTGTTTCTACACTTCACGGTTGTGTCAGTCGAAAATTCATCGCCAAGAACGTTCAAAATCCACAAACAACAGCATACTGATGGTGAATGTCAGCCTTTGCGGCCATTGGCGCAGGGATGTTTCTGCCGCCAGGTAGGTGTATCAGCAAGAGCTTGGGGCAAATGTCAGCCAATGGGCGCGGATGGACTTTGGGTATGTGAGACTCAGCGGCTTCTTCTCATTCAACGTGTGCAGGAGCACAGCGATGACCCAAGCCAAGTAGGAACGTAGTGCCGGCCAGTCGGAACTTGGCATTCTGTTGCACGGTGGTACGCACCATGCGCCTTGTGAGCGCGACCTTTTTGGAGTGAGGTTGGAAGTAGGTTGGAGCCTGCAGTTCAGCATTTGAAGAGAAAGGGTTCAATCAACAGGGGTCCCTATATTTCCCTTTTATCAGCTTTTTGGCCCATGAAAGGTGAGTGTTCCTTTCCTTAGTGAGGGTGATGTGTTCAGGGGAAATATGGGGAGCCCTGATCAACATGTTCAGCCCAGCCGTATGTAAAGAGTTCCCAATCCAACTCCGTGGTTTCATGTCGGCGTGGAGATCCCAAAACACGTCGCATGTCCATTAGCTTCGCTTTCAGAATGGCACAAGGGTTCACGGGATCTTGGAATCTGGGCGTGTTTTGAGGGTACCCCTTGTTGTTCAGGTGGTTTTTTTGTTTTTTGTGTTTTTTTTGCGTTTTTTTCCCAACAGGGCAGCCCTGAGGTAAGGCTCCACGAGGGTTCCACCAGGGTTGGACCAGGGTTCTGCAAGGGCTGCGGGGTGGTGCGAGCACTAAAAAGAGCACCGCATCCTGTTGGAAATATCACCTGAGCTTCTTTTTTTTGGAGGGGGGTGGTTCTTGGTTTTCTCAGGGCTGGCTTTTGGCTTGTCTGGCTTTTTGCCAGTTTTGGTGGCATTCGTTGGGGCCTGTTTGGCTTTGGCTTTCGGCATCCTCAGCAACACCCCCAACATCACCGGCTTTGGGCTGTGTGAGATGTGCCACACACACATGTACACCGCTTGCAAACCCTAAAGAATCCACAACCCCACCCTAAACCTTCGTTTCGGGCCCTTCACGACCAAACCCACCCTAAAAGCCACCACTAAACTAGATCAACCTAAGACCAAACCTAAGCCAACCCTCAAGAAACCCTAATGAACCGTTCAACTCGCCCGAACAACCCTAAGCAAGCCCACACTATCCCTAAACCAGCTCTAAACCTACCCGAAACCAGCCGTAAAACCACCCAAAGCCAATCCTAAAACCCACCCTAATCCTACCCTAAACCCTCACTCGCACTCCATCCCCAATAAGCCCAGCCCTTCACAAGCCCCAAGCAACGAGCAACCCCAAGCCACTCTTTAAACCCACCCTAAACCAGCACTAAACCCAAACTATCCCGTCCTAAACCCCAAGCAACCCTACACCCTAAACCCTAACAAGCCCACCATAGACTAGCACTAGATCATCCCAGCACCTAAAGCTCAGCCAAAACAACCAAGCCTACATGCCTTAAACAAGCCTGGAACCCATTGCTTTGAACATGCCACAAAATATTTGTTGTTGAAGCGCCGGGAGTCAACACAAAGAAATCCCGAAAAGAAGAAGCAATTAAACATGGACCCATAGTGGGCCCAGCATTGGTAGGGTCACCCCCAGTCTTTTAGGCTCGTGGGCAAAGCCCGGGCTTGATGAAACCTACCTGGCGTGGTCAAGGGCAAATTTTGTTACATAGGGTTGGCGATCTTCATGTGTTCATGGCAAATGGCCGGTTGCTTGTGCCTTTTTCTTCTTTTTTTTTCGGGCAGTCCGAGCGGTGGAAGGACCTCATTCATACATGGTGATTTGTGTCCGCCAATGATTTTTGGAGAGTGCTCCTGAACCCATTTCCTCCCTTGCTTAAACCACGGTTTAGACCACCAAACAGTTTAAACCTTGTTTGATGATGTGATTTGAGAGAAGTCTGAGGCATTGGGCAAAGAAGGAGCAACTGTGCAATGCCTCGCTGCGGCACCTCTCTACGTGTCTGGGATGTGAAGATTCTAGGGGTAGCTTCCATTTCCATTCTTTCCAGGGATCCGAATCTTTTCAGGAAACCATCAAAAACCCAGGTTGGAAACGGATCCGGTTTTGGAAAAGAACGATGGTTGAAAAGAATGGAAAAGGAATCAAACCCTAGAAAGATTGGCCTTCGGCTGCGGAAGGGTGAGAAAGGGGACATTGGCTCTCCACCGATACCTGTGGCACTGTGTTTGGGCATGTCTTTGGACTGTTTGCCGCGGTTCGCAATGGGAGAAACTAGCTAAATGGCGTATACCGTATAGTTATAGTTACTTACCACCTATAAACAGCAATACTAAACGAGACGCGACACATCGTAAGACTGCCAGGGGCTCAGCGAATGGGAACGAGCACCAGGCAGCAGCGAATGGAAAACTTCGAAGGTCAAATGGCCAAAAGCCAATGAGCCAATAGGTTGGAGAAAGGCTTCTGAATGCAGACTTCGGAAGTACCTTGGGGAGATCGGATTCGACATCAAAAATCCTCGGTATGAAGTGTCGAAACGAGAGGGAACCCTTTTGGCCAACGGAAATGCGGCTTGCCCTTCCAAAAGCTGGCTCGTGGAATTGGTCGAAATGATCTGCAATTTTTTCCTTCGGCAGTTGGCTTCTCCGATGGTTTAGGTGTCATTCCCTCGAAGTTTCAGGGACCGGTTTGACCAAGTTAGTTTTCACGCCCAAAGTGCTAATTAGGTTTACAAGCACCCGGCATTCACAAAGTGGTCAGCATTCTCTCACGAAAGCCCAATGCGCTGCGCGCGGGCATGCGTTCTTGTCAAGCACGCAATCAAAAGTGGTCCGAAGGCTGGGCTATGCAAAGCGCGCTTCGGTTGGTGATGCGGTGATGCCGGGGATGCTGACCGGTCATTGTAGTGAACAAGGCCTCCCTATGCAGATGATGCCGTGGATTGATGCACCTCTGCAACGCAGAAATCAGCCGGCGCCATCATATCTCAAGTCTGACTCCACCGCAATGCAAGGTGAAGGAATCCACGAAGCTGATCAAATTTCCTGCAGTTGGGGATGCGCTTTCGTCCCGAATGTCAAGTGAGCAAGTCCAGCAAGAGTTGCAAACTATTCTTCGTGAACCAAACGGGTGAACCCTGAGTTGATCGTGGTGGGCAACCCAACCTATTTGACTTGCTTGGTTTTCCAGGCAAAAAGGTGTGCGAAAGCAGGGCTTGAGGGAGGTTGCCTGGTAAACCTGCATGTCCATTGGAACACCCAAGGTGACTGGCATTGAGGCCTCGAAATCTGAGTTGATCGGAGGGCTTTTCTTTTTGCACTGAGGTACGCCCTCACTTTGATGGCAGCTCAGAGGGAGATTAAAGACAGGTTCCATTGACGGGAAGAGGACCCAAGCCGGATTTGTTTGCCGCAGCACTGGGGACGACATCCCAAAAGCGTTGCTCGTGTGATTTGGTGATGTCTCCTTCGGAAGCCAAAAATCAGCTGGGAACAGTTCAGTCAAAAAGATGTAACACGAGATTGTTGTTGGAGTGGGTGAATGCTCTTCATTTTGGCAGGGTCAGTTTCTCATGTTTCAGGCTCAGTGATAGGTGATGGACCCTTGAAGGAGCGCTGGTGATCGCGAGATGGGTTCTGATTTGGAGAAAGAATGGCCACCTTCGGTGAGGAGTTTCAACCATGAGGAGTGCTGAACAAGTCATTAGTGCATCCGGCTGCGGATGGTGTAGTGTCTCTGAAGTCAAGGGAGTTTGCTTGAAACTACAGGTGCGTTATGGTTGGTGGACATAGCGTAAAATGATGGTCCATTGGGTTCCCAAATTTGCAGGTGACCTGGACTGGAACATGTTTCGGTCGAGGAAGCTCCTGTCCCGGAACCCTCAAATCGTACCTTTGACCATCGAACTGGATTCCCAGGAAGCCCTTGGCTTGACAGCGAAGCATACGTCATACTCTTGTGGGAGTCAGTGAGTCCCAATCCAATCGTTGGACCCAAACTCAAAGGTTACGGAAGACCTGGCGCAGCTTCTTTGGCCCCTTAACGGCTTTTCGAACGGGCCGGTTGCTTCTTTTGAACTCCCTCGCGCTGCAAGCAGCAGGATCATGGAACACGGGCCAAGATTTTCGGCTGACTTTTGGTAGCTGCAAAAGTGGTGCTTGTGACTTGGGAGGGGTGGAGAAGGTGCAATCAACACACGGCAGCCTTGGATCAAACACAGGGCTTCGTGGCATGTTCAGAGACTGTTGGTTTTTCACTGTGGCTTTTTTTGGGAGACCAGTGGATTGCCAAAAAAGAATGGAGTGCTCTTTTGAGAAAGCTTTGCCACACACCCCATCCCTAAAATGAGTATTTGGGTTGGGGGGTTGGGGGGTGCGTGGGTGCAAACTATTTTTCGTTTGAGGCAAGAGGGCAGGGGACTATGGGGACTGAAGGGGACCTCTTTGCCACATTCCTAGGCTTGCCTCAAAAAAGACCACATTTGACAAAAACCAGCCGTTCCACCTGAAGATTTTGGATCGGGGCTCACAAGTTGCACCTCAGACTCTACCGCTATTGGGCAACGGATCTTTAGACTTTAGCTTTTTTGGAAAATAAAGGTGTTTTCCACTAAACCCCCCAAAAGTGATTCACTTTTTGCAGGGGGTCAACAGCAACCAAGACAAGTTGCACCTTTGACCGACAGATCGATGCCCGAGGCGATCTTCTTCCTACAGGTGCATGACAACTGGAAGATACCCACCTTGCCGACCACTTGCTTTACCCATGACTGGGTCGACTCGAGCGCAATAAACAAGTGCCTTGCAGAATGGTCACAATTGAAAGGGGTGGGAATCTCTGAGAATTGCTTGCGGTCAAATCAAAGTGCTCAGGGATGCCGTTTTTCGGTTGGAAGTTTCGAGATGCATGTCAACCAAATCGTTTACGTGAGCGTTCTGCGGTCAGAGCATTCTCATCAAAACCAACAGTTGTTACAAAGAAATATTGCTCCCTGGCCGCCATGTGTGTCCTTCCTTTTTTAATGGCCGCACTGGGTGAAATGCCAAGCTTCCTCTCTTGCCTTTGCTGAGCAAAGGAGCTTCTTGTTCTGCCGTCTCGCATAAGTTCCTCTCCTCTCCAATCAGGTTTCTTTGGGCACTGCCTTTCAAACGTGAAAAGATGGCTCCCAATGTTTGCAAGCTTTAGTGGTCGTAGTTGCATGCAGCCGCAGAGCAACACTTCAGCAAAGCGTACGCAGAACAAGGCAGCCAAACCATTCGGCCGTTGCTATTGGCCACCAGTGTTCGGTTGTGATTAGGCAGCACAACTGTCGAACAACAAACAGTAAATGCACGGGAAGGCCATCCTAAGCCAATCGTACCTGTGTTGACGGCCATGTTGACTGACCCACATCTCGATGAGCCCATGGTCTTTCATGAAAAAAACGCGCTGTGTTTGCTCGCGGGTGAAGCTCCCTAAAGGCCTGGACGCACCGGCATGAATCGCTGGATGCAGGATGCTTATGGCCGACTAGAGGTCGTCTTTATGGCTGTTTGGTTGGATCTTTGGCCTTTGACTTTTTGGTTGAAACAGGTGGGATTTTGAGAAATTGGACCCACAAAAAAGTGCTAAACTTTTTGCGGAGGGGTCGTTGCAGCAACCAGGTCTTTGTGAGAGCTTGTGGGTTTCGCAAGTTGGACAGAACGTGTGCGCCTTTTGGCATTGCGACCTTAGTCCAGGCCTCGAATCCGTACGCAAATATATATATATATATGTATATATATATATATATGTATATATATATATGTTCACATGTTGCCCATGCCAAAATGGCTGTGGGTCAACACCAATGGTACCATTTTGGGATAGGTGCACCACCCAGTTTAGTCTATTTAAGGGGGATTGGGATGTTCACTGGGGGTACGGGGTTTTGACCAATGGCCAAATGACGACGAACCCCCTGCCCAGTTTGGTGCTTCTTTGCAAACACACGCCCAAACCTTGCCCTTGCTTCGCAGTAAAATATCCAGTCAAACTGCAAAGAAGCGCATGCCAATCCCCAATCAACACACGCGGGAAGCCTTTCGCCAGACCCTTTCAGTGATCCAGCTGGCAGCCAAGTTGCCACAGTGGGCAGGTGAGTTCCTTGATCAACGGCCCCAAGAATGGATTGAAGGAAACTTAAGGAAGCAGCTAAAGTTTGACGCTGGCTTTTGCCGCAAATCAGTTCCGCACTCAAGTCGCTCTTGGCCATACCAGCGAAAGCCAAAGCAAGACCGCCCTGTGAACATACCCTGCTTCCAGCCGCATGCTCGCTGAGCTTATCTTGATAGATCCCTCCAGGTTGCGTTTTTCCCCAGTGTCAGCAACGATTGAACAGCCACACCTGATGCTTCCCGAGAGATTTTGTGTTACGGGTGCTTGTGAGAATTTCACTGCTGCACTCTAGATATGGTTAATGGGGTAAATGAGGACACGCAGTTGACAGAGAGGCCAAGCGTTGCTTTCCGCTTAGGGTGAAGTGGCAAGCTCCACAGCTACCGCTCACAACGTGGCCTAGCTGAAACGGCAGTTCGTGGTGAGCGGGGACTGGCGGCGTTGGCAAATTCTGATTTGGACGAAGTTGACTCCAGGGCTCCTTAAAGATACATTTTGCCAATTTGAATCATGTTGCTTTTTCAACACCAAAACACAGGGACACCTCCATTTACAAGTTGCAATGCTCAGGTGTTTATCATGCATCCGGATCCCTGTTTTTTTCTGGCACTGGCCGCCTATGGTTTCCGAACTCCTTCAGGAATGCGTCCCATACATTTCAAGGTGACTGGGCGGTTGTGATAGCAACCAAAGGCCACCCCACCAAAGACAGGGCGTCAGAACCTTCTTCTCTACCGCTGTTGGGCAACGGATCTTTAGGCTTTAGCTTTTTTTGGAAAATAGAGGTGTGTTCCACTAAACCCCCCAAAAAGTGATTCACTTTTTGCAGGGGGTCAACAGCAACCAAGTTTTTGTTTAATGGTTTCTTGGAACAGGTCTGTGAGGTGCTGATGACCCGTTTGGTAGGGGCCCTGATGACTAGGTTCAGCGGGTCGGCCTTATTGTGCACCAGCTTGGAGGCCGTGAGGCCGTACCCCTTTGCATGCACATGTGCATCTTCAAACATAGACATCTACGAGATGTGCACAAATGATATGAATACTTGTATGCACATCGAGGTAAGCATTTGCATATGTCAAGTTGTTTCTTTGAACCTTGCAAGTTTTTGGAGATCGTTCACGCGCGACCGCATTTAATCCGAGAAGCTTCTGGCAGGCTGCTGTATGACTTCTTCAGCTTCTATGCTCAAGAATACAACTGGCAGGAGGAGGTCATCTCAGTTCGGCTCGGCCGCAGGCGGGAAGCGGAGCGGAGCCATGGCTTGGGACTCTCCAGACTCTCGGGACTCTCGGGACTCGGGACTCGGACACAGGAGACCCGAGCAATGGATGGGGAGACCGGTGCAACCGTGGATGTTGGGGTTGGGAAGCCTCGGCTCATGCGGAGGCATTGAGTGCTTTGAACTCGCTTCCTGAAAAGAATATGGCTTGAAACTTGTTGGGAATGACCATTTTAGTGGCAAACAGCAAGTTTAGTTTTTTCTTGGCCAATCACTCAGGATGCATAGCCACACCCGAATTCGCGGGTACCAGAGTCTTCCGGCTCCCAGATTTGGTCATCCACGTAGCGGAAGAGATGCTACTTGTTCAGCCTGTCAGGGTTCCCCAATACACGGTTGTCGTTGGGACACATCTCACATTTTTGCTTGGTGTGGTTTAGTGAGAAATCTCACTAAATTTGCTAAGATTTAGATTTTTGCTCCCCTTCCAACGTCAACCAATAATACAATTCAGACCAGCAGCAGCAGTGGCCAGGGCCTTTAGGCAAGAGATCAGCAACTTTCAGAACCTCGTGGGCGCAGCTTCCGTCGCCTGGCAAGGACACCTACCCGGCATTGACGGGAAATGCGGATGCCACTGCCATCCCTTCCATTTGCTTAAGAGTTGTTGTTTCTCTATTCTGGTTTTGTATAAAGGGAATCTACCACTACTGGAATTGATTCTTCCACGGGCTGAAGCAAATGGAAGATCCATTTATCAGACACTTGGCATAGGACGAATCCCATCGGATCCCATACGCCGCATGGCCTCATCCCATGGGCCATGCTTCTTATGCGAATATCTGCAGCCTCATTTACATGAATAGAACCCCACGTGCCTTGGCAAACGATGCATATGTACACACATTTACATATAAATATAATGTGTATATATATATATACATATATACACCTACTTGTACAAATAGTGCACAGGTGTGTCAATTCAGCGGGGAACAATGGTTTGCAGTCGAACGACGGAGGCGCGTCAGCTTGTTTTGGGCCGATGGTAGTGAAAACAAGGCGCCCTGTACGCCGCACAGATGTCGCCAAAGTCTGAGGAATTTTCGTTCTCCCTAGGTGAAGAGTTGTGAAGAGGCTGTGAATCTGACCTGCATGCGGCCCAAGAAGTGTTGAGAGCGGGGGACGCATTTGCAGCAACACTGTAAAGCAGGGGCCCGTATGGCGTCCCTTCCTGATTGCATTCAGCATGTCAGCCTTTTACTACCCGCGCTATCATGACAAAGGAGACAATTTGTTTGAGGGCTGTCCTGACAAGGCTTTCTGCGAGCCGCAACTCAGCCGATCAAGTGTGCCATTTCCTTGAAACCCAGTTTATTGGTTTGCTATGTTCGCTTGCTTCTGCCTGAAGCAACCAACGGTCATGTTCCATGCCTTCACCCCAGCATCTAGATGCCAGAGTTATGCCGGCTCTTAGCGGAGTTGTTGAAAACCCAGAACCGCGGCATGCCAAAGAGGATCAGAGAACATCAACGCTTGAGAGGCCTTCATTTTACAAGGCATGGGTCAATTGTCCGCTCCTATGAAGATATTGCTGGCTGTCGGCTACCCCTGGCGTGTAAACTTGCATCCAGTAGACGTGGTTTTACCTTTGCTTACCCCCGCGCCAAACCTTGTCCCAAGGCCGCGCGGCTTCACATAGAGGATCCTTTTCTTTTGGACAGGCGCCTGGGCTGAAGCATATCCGAGAACATTGCATCCAGCCCAATGGGCAGGTCCAACTCTCCCAAGACCCAGAGAGGAGGCAATCTGTCATTCAGATCATGAGGACCCTTATCAATGCTCTGTGAATGCAGACAAAGCTAGTTGCACACTGGCTCGCCCAAGCATGGTGCGTGTCCTCGCTGCACGATTCGTTCCACGATGGATTCTCGATCTAATTTTGTGACGGGCCAACCCGAGTTCTAGGAAAAACCTGCGAGAGAGGGGTCGGTGGTTAACTCATTTTTTGGTCCAGAGTCACCAGGGGCGAATGGCAAGTACCCTGTAAACAGACTAGACTCCAAAACGGACGACCATGAATTGAGGAACTTCTGCAAAATGCAGAAGCAAGAGACAGGGCAAAAATGCGTGGCCTGTGCTTAGAGGGGCCCTTCGCTCGGCTTGGGAGCGAGGAACCTGAACTGCACCTTGGGCATGGAGCAAGAAGCTCAACTCAAGGCCCGCGCCGTGATTGTTGCTGTGGCTTTGTCGCTATGCCGTTGGTTTCGATTGTGGTTTTCACCGCTGCTGCTGGTTTCAATGGTCTGGCTGCTGCTGCTCCTGCTGTCATGTCAACGTGGTTGAGCATGGAGTGTGCAGCGGTGAGGAAGCAGCGTGAATTCTGGATCCACGAAATGTGCAGTATTAAGTGTGGAAGGTAGTCATCTTTCCGCAGTCAGACGAACACTTGAGTGTGGTTGTTTGCCTGTCAATTCCACCAGTCAATGGAAGGGGCGCCATGTAGCGCCTTTCCACTCGCTCCATCTTTTGAACCGTGCACAACTCCTCTTTAAGACTGTCGGCATAGAAAGGAGCTGGCCATCCAGGCCGTGGAACTCTCCTTCGGCTCATTTCCTGAGTTCCTGGACTTGATACTTTTTGGGAAGACCATATGTTAGTGGTGAATAAAGAGTATGGACTGTGTGTGGTCCCCTCAAGCGAGTGAAGCCTCAACACCTTGGCCTCTAGAAACGCCGCCGCGGAGAAACGCCGCCGCCGCTCACCTTTGGGCTGCCGAAGGGCTGAAGGATGGCCGTCGAAGCGGGCGCGCTTGAACGGGGGGGGCGTAGCTCGAGCCTTTTGACTGTGGTCGTTCCAGAGCTGCAAACCATAAGGCAGTCAGAAACAGCCCCAGCAATAGCCTTCTCGCATCAGCCAGCTTCTCAATCATGTACTACCAAACTTCCTGTTTCATTCTCCGTGCGTATGTTGCCGTCCCTCCGTTGCCAAGACATTGCAACCCCGGAAATTGGAAGAATCCTTTGCTTGTCGGACAAACCGCACTGGAGGTGAAGATCCGCATGACCTATGAGACCCTGGCTGCGTGGGAAATGCCCGCAGCCTTCCAATCCACCAAAACTTCCAGAAGTGACTTGGAGCAAAATTCGGTCATAGGCAGTTTTCCTGTAAGCAACCAGGTAAAAGCAAGAGATTTCGGATCACCAGTTGCTGATGCATGCCTGGACTACGGCAATTGACTTCTTCCCACAGGTCAAGGCATGCTTTTTTTTTTGGAGTTTTGAATGGCAATTCTCACCTTACCCTAGTTGCAGCAGATCCCTTTTCACTCCGGTGGTTGGTGAGATGGTCAATTGTGGCCCGGTCAGCCCTTTGGAGATCAGCCCGCACGGTTGAAGCAGCAACCTAGGTGTTTGTGCTCCACTACACAGGCAAAACTAATGCTCATCTTCCCACCGAGGTCTGGATGCATCCAAAGGGAAGAACAGAAATACCCCCCTTTTCTGAGAGGGAAGCGCCGGTTCAGTCATGTATTTGAATTCTTGGGTCTCATTACGTCTTTTGTTGATCGCTTGAATGTTGGCTCCTGCAAGTTTCATTTGCTGCACGGATTATTTCCTGGGCCATGGGTGGCTGAATGCGGATTCTCGGGCTGGCCTTTTTGGGCTTCAGGCTGCCTAGGCCCTGTTTTCAAGGCCCCAAACGGACCTGCAGAATCGACTCGCGCGGCAACGACTATTTAATTTCGCAGGTCCTGGTTGATACTCTGCGACTCTGCAATTTCTGGCTCGGGTTTCCACTTGACAGTGGCTCCTTGCACCAAGGTTCCATCCGAAATGTCCCCAGCACGCTGGTGACCAACGGCGGCAAGAAGCGACTCCCTCAGCTTCGTGGTGTTCGGCCGGGAGAAGCCCCAAAGCACCCGACATATGATTGCTGAAATGCCATGCGCCTTTTGTTCTGTGAGACATCAGCTCGGAAGTGGATCCAACAACATGATGATAAAAGTGATGATAGCAGTGATGATTAAAAGCACGGTGAAAATGATGGTGAACAGAATGATAACAATGACAATGAACATGATGATACAAATGATGATGAAAACGATGATGGCTGTACCCTTAGGTTTTTTTGAGCATCCTAGCTGGGAGCGCATGAATCATCATCACTTAGAAATGCTTTTGGACCACTTTAAAAGGCGCCCCTTTGAAAGCTACCAAGCTAGTTTTGTGACAGGCTTGGAAGCAAAGGCAGCCACACGATGCATGCCGAAGCAGGTTGATTCCTTGAACTTCGCGACTATGCCAAACAAACCATGGTATATCCTTGTATCCACTGATCCATTTTCTGGCGGTTTTTCGCCCTGTTTGTGTTATTCTAACGCATGCTAAGCAACCCTCATTTGGTCACATAGGCCTTATGGTGGTGGATGTGAAAGGGGGAAGGTGCCCTGACTCAGTTTGATCAGTCGTTCCAGTTAACCAAGATGCTGGTTCTGCCCTACGCCGTTCTAGTCAAAATTACGCGCCAGATTTGCCTGCTGTGCTCAGATGCTGTTGATGTGTCCAGAAGACACGCTGACGCGCTCAGCTTCAACCTGCACCGATCCTCAACGAGACTTGGCCAAAGCCAGCAATCTACGTTTGCCAGCCATGCCCCTAGAAAGCACTTCGTTGTGCCAATTCAACTGTGCGGAGCAAAGCAACGATCAGAAGCAGTGAAAAGAAGGGACAAGAGCGACAAATCGTTCAAGAGCCGACAAGACCCAAGCCGCTAGCAGGAGGCCGCCAAAGAGACATCGATATGACATGCCTCTCATGGGGCAAACAAATGGCTGGACATGCGCGTGCAAACTGATGTCAGTATCCAAGCAATGAAGCCAATTCGCGTGGGGTTGGGGGGTGAATCCGGTTGGGGTGGCTTTTTAAGGGTTTTGCGCTTGACTTTCTGTGAGCCCCCCCCCCCAAATGCGGGACCTTGAAGGTGTTTGCCTTTGCAACAGGCCAAAGAAGCCCACTGCCGAAGCGGATGCCGCCCCGGATGCTGCGCAGGCGCCTGAAACGCGCGCTTCGCCGGGTTCTTCGGTTCTGGTTCTATGCGGTGTGTGTGTGTGTGTGCGGTCGTTTTTGTACTTCCCCCGGTTTTGCATTGTTTGCACATCCTCTTTTTTAGGCAAGAGCCTGACATCAACATGGCCACTGGCAGCGTACCTTTCAAAGAACTGCAAAATGGCTTCGCGACAAATGGCAGGGAAGCCAGCCACGAACCCGCGCTCAAGAACATGATGTCGTGATTGCCAATGTTGGCGACTTACTTGTACTCTTGCGTTTGTACTGGGATACGATTTGGCCACTAGGTTTTGCACTTGAGCCAGGTTTTAACGGGATGTCAGTAGAGATTGAACAAGCAATTGAATCTCAACTTGGGATCCCTCAATTTCATAAGATGTACTCGTAGGCTCGTAGGCCCGCAGGCCCCACATGTTGCAATTCGCATGTTCATTCCATCCTTGGTTCTCGCAAAGCAATGGATTCCATGGCGGATTTCCCGGTTTCGGGTAGGCTTTTGGCTGGCCAAAGGTTCGACCAAGCTTCTCTTTCGCCAATGGAAATTCACTCGAAACGGGCTGTTGGTGTGCTACTCAATCTGGTGGTTTTCTTTGAGGGAATTCTCAGGTTAATTCCCTTCTTCCCTACCTATCGCCACCAGCAAGCTATCTTGGAAGTTGCGCCGAGTTTCAAGACATGTGTGTGGTGAGCGGAAAGGAAAGCTGCAGACTGGCTGGAGCAGAAGGGAATGGTAATCCACAGCAGGGGCGAAATTGCAGATTCATGAGAGCTAGCTTGTCTCTTTGAAACACCGGACATTCATTTGTGTTACCCTCTGAGACGCTCAAGATAGGCTGGCTTGCTCTGAAGATGCGCTCTGAGCAAGAATGACTTGGATGTGAGGGCAGGGGTGGTCCGGATTGGCCCAAATCTCCAAAACAGGGTTTTGTTGATTTGTGTTGTTTGTTGTCGTGTTTCCTTGCGTGTTTCCTTGCGTGTTTCCTTGTGTGTTTCCTTGTGTGTTTGCTGGCTTGCTTGCCTGCTTGCTTGCTTGCCTGCTTGCTCGCTCGCTTGCTTGTTCGGTTGGTTGGTTGGTTTGGTTTGTTTTTTCCCCAACAGCTGAAAGCTTTGGGGTCTCAGCCCAGATAGGCTCCGGGGTGGTCCGGGGCGGCCCTGAGGTAAGGTAAGGTTTCACCAGGGTTTTTGCAGGGTTCCACGAGGTTCTGCGAGGGCTGCGGGGTGGTGCGAGCGCTAAAAAGAGCACCGCATGCTGTTGGGGATGTCACCTGAGCTTCTTTTTTTTTTTGGCGGGGGGCGGGGGGGGGGGTGCTTTGTTTGGTTGGTGGTTGGGTTTGGTTGGGTTGGGTTGGATTGAATTGGTTGTCTTGTTTGCGTGTTTGTTTTGTTTGCTTTGCTTGCTTGCTTGCTTGCTCGCTTGCTTGCTTGCTTGCTGGCTGGCTGGTTTGTTTGTTTGTTTGTTTGTTTCTTCGTTCCTTTGTTTGTGCGGGTTTGTTTGGTTGTTGAGTTTTTTGTTTGTTTGCATGCCACGGATGCTGGTTTTCGCCGTGTGTTGTTTGAAGCTCGTTGTGCGACAACCTTTTGCTCCTGCGCTATTGCTGGCACATGTAGCTCGCCGAGCCTTGCATCACACCTTCATTTCACCCGTTTGAGGCATGGGGGTTTGGGGTTTGCTCATGGGCCGGGCGCGCAGGTCCCGGTGCCGAAGTTCTTGAGGTGACGGGCCAGGTGCAGGCTCGGCGGACGAGAGAACGTCGATCCAATTGGAGCGGATGTCCCAAGTGAGCCCTGAGTTTTCCAGCAAGGGGTTGTTTGCTCATTCTAGCGCTTTCAGTTTGTTTATTTCTGAAATAGGCTTGGGCAAAGGATGGTTGGTCAATTGCTTCGTGAGCCTAGAAAGTGTAAGCCGACGGTAGAGCCAGTCGCCAGGAGTGTTTGGCTTTCTCAGCTGCCAAGCTGTCCCCTTCAAATGCTTGGGGAGGTGCTGCTTTTTCTCACTCAGGCATTCCCTGCAGCCACACTCGATCCCAGAACCCCGTCTTCTCCTGAAGCCGTTGCGGGGAAGTCTGGTATCTGTTACGTGTTGTATAAGTTGCAGGGGGGTTGATGTCAATGCCATTGCTGCAATGCTAAAACTGTTTGTTGCTTGTCAGGTTTAGATTGTTGAATTCATGGATTCTGGATTTCAATTGCAGCCACTCGATTGTACAGAAAAAGCGAGAGCTAATCATAGCCGTCAGTGGCAGAACAGGCATCAGCATTGACAGCAGGCGCAGGTAACGAGTGCAGTTTGTGTAACCGACTGCAAAATGGCGCGGAAACGTTGCCAACGGAAAAGCGGAAGATCTCAAGCCACAGAACCAACCCGATACGCCTCCGATATGAAGCTCGATCCACGACAAAAAACACCATATTTGAGTGTAAGGTCAGCAGTAAGCTCATATGATCACAAGCAACCAAGGGCAAATCCCACTTGCGCTAGTATGCTACGGTGAAGCCGACTCAACGTATCATCAAGCTAAGCCCTACAACTGCTTTGACCTGTTGTTTGCCGACTTGCTTGCGCTGGAATCTGTTTCTCGGCCAGTTGTCTTCCCCTCTTTCGGCCATGGGGCATTTGCTCGTTATGACTTTGACTCATCTCGTCACCAGTGGCCAGACTTCGGGCCCCTCAGGCCAGCCCTTGACCCGTTCGCGGGCCTGGATGCGCCTGGATCGAACCATCTGGACTGTGACGGTTGCGCCTTTGATGTCCAATTTGCTCGTTGCTCGTGCTGATTTGTTTTTACCTTTTTATTCGCGGCTCCCCTGCATCGCGCTGTTTTTCAATGTGCTCGCGTGAGGTCATAGTGTTAGTATGATGGTTGGCTGGCTGCTTCTTTGCCTGCCTGCTTGTCTTCGTGTCCTTGCCTGCTCTGGTTGCTCACATTGCATCTACTGCACACATACAACACCTTCATGCAGTGACTAGGCATGGTGCATGCAATTTGCTGTTCACTTCCTGTGATCTTGAGAGCCAGCATGGGTCCGGAGGCGCCATGGCTTTCAGGGATGCTATTCCTTACCCAGACCCATGGGGCATACTCTGGTCGATTTGGGGTGGGCCTCCCGCTCGGCCGGTCTGCGTTCAGAGAGGGCATTTGCTTGTTCAGACGGCTTGTTCTTCCCGCAGGTGCGCGTCCACTGGCGGCCTTGGGTTCCATATAATGGTCTGGCCAGAACCTCAGGCGCCAGATGTTGGAAGGTCTTTCTTAAATGTTGCAGTATGGGTCATAACTGTATAAATGATAGTCAATTTTGCAGGCTGACGCCTGATGCTGCCGACCCCCGTAAAGCACGAAACCTTGAGATGAGCTAGTGTCCGTGGGCAAAGCAGACGAGCAAGCATGCCCATGGGTCAGAACTGCTTCGTGTGATCTTTGGCCAGAGTCTCGGCCAGCAACTTGAGCGAACACAACCCGGATTAGAGCATGATGACGACGCTGATGATGATGATGATGATGATGATGATGATGATGATGGATGATGAGGATGATGCTGATGATGGCGAAGCTGGGGGATCCTTTTTTCCCAATTTTCGAAGACCAAAAAGGCAGATGATGCTGAAGAATGATGCTGAGGATGATGATGCCGATGAAGATGGTGATGATGATGATGATGATGACGCTGGATGACGAGGATGATGATGACGCCGCTCATGATAATGATGATGAGGATGATGACGATGATGCTGCTGATGCTGAGGAATGAGGATGATGCTGACGATAATACTGATGACGACATCTTCCCGCAGTCTTCCGTCATCTTCGTGTAGTCTTCCGTCATCTTCCCGTAGTCTTCCGTCATCTTCCCGCAGTCTTCCGGCATCTTCCCGCGGTCTTCCGTCATCTTCCCGTAGTCTTCCGTCATCTTCCCGCGGTCTTCCGTCATCTTTCCGAGGTCTCGGGAAGATGACGGAAGACTACGGGAAGACGGAAGACTACGGGAAGACGACGGGAAGATGACGGAAGACTACGGGAAGATGACCCTAACCCGTAACCTTAACCTCTAACCCGAACCCCTAGCCCTAACCTCCCCTAACCTATATCCTCTACGTACTTTTCCCGTCATCTTCTCGTCATCTTCCCGTAGTCTTCCGTCATCTTCCCGTAGTCTTCCGTCATCTTCCCGTAGAGGTTAAAAGTTAGGGTTAGGGGTTAGGGATAGAGGTTAGAGGTTAGGGAAAGAGGTTGGGGTTAGAGGTCAGGGTCAGAGGTCAGAGGTTATGGCAAGAGGTTAGGGGAAGAGGTTAGGGTTAGAGGTTAGGATGAGAGGTTGGGGTTAAAGATTAGGGGTTAGGGTCATCTTCCCGTAGTCTTCCGTCATCTTCCCGTCATCTTCCCGCAGTCTTCCGTCATCTTCCCGTAGTCTTCCGTCTTCTGTCATCTTCCCGTAGTCTTCCGTCATCTTCCCGTGGTCTTCGTCTTTCCGTCATCTCCCCGTAGTCTTCCGTCAGCTTCCCGTGACTTCCATCATCTTCCCGTAGTCTTCCGTCATCTTCCCGTGAGCTTCCCGTAGTCTTCCGTCATATTCCCAAGTGTTCCGTCATCTTCCCGTAGTCTTGCGTCATCTTTCCGTAGTCTGCCGTCATCTTCCCGTAGTCTTCCGTCGTCTTCCGTCATCTTCCCGTAGTCTTCTGTCATCTTCCCGTAGAGGTTAGAGGTTAGGAGGTTGGGGCTAGAGGTTAGGGTTAGAGGTTAGGGTTAGAGGTTAGGGTTAGAGGCTAGAGGTCAGGGTGAGAGGTTACGGTCAGGTTAGGGTTAGAGGTTAGAGGTTAGGGGCATCCATCATCATCCTCATACGCATCATCATCATCATCGTCATCATCATCATCATCATCGTCATCATCACATCATCATCATCATCATCGTCGGCGTCATCGTCATATCATCATCACCGTCGGCGTCATCATCATCCTCATCATTGTCGTCATCATCGGCATCATCAGCATCAGCATCATCATCGCCATCATCATCATCCATCCTCACGGTTACAGGTTAAGGTTAGAGGTTAGGGTTACAGGTTAAGGTTAGAGGTTAGGGTTAGAGGTTAGGGTTAGAGGTTAGGGTTAGAGCTTAGGGTTAGAGGTTAGGGTTAGAGGCTAGGGTTAGAGGTTAGGGTTAGAGGTCAGGGTTAGAGGTTAGGGTTAGAGGTTGGGGTTAGAGGTTAGGGTTAGAGGTTAGGGTTAGAGCTTAGGGTTAGAGGTTAGGGTTAGAGGCTAGGGTTAGAGGTTAGGGTTAGAGGTCAGGGTTAGAGGTTAGGGTTAGAGGTTAGGGCTAGAGGTTTGGGTTAGAGGTTAGGGTTAGAGGTTGGGGTTAGAGGTTAGGGTTAGAGGTTAGGGTTAGAGCTTAGGGTTAGAGGTTAGGGTTAGAGGCTAGGGTTAGAGGTTAGGGTTAGAGGTTAGGGTTAGAGGTTAGGGTTAGAGGTTAGGGTTAGAGGTTAGGGTTAGAGGTTAGGGTTAGAGGTTAGGGTTAGAGGTTGGGGTTAGAGGTTAGAGGTGTTAGAGGTTAGGGTTAGAGGTTAGGGTTAGAGGTTAGGGTTAGAGGTTAGGTTAGAGGTTAGGGTTAGAGGTTAGGGTTAGAGGTTAGGGTTAGAGGTTAGGGTTAGAGGAGGGTTAGAGGTTAGAGGTTAGGGTTAGAGGTTAGGTTAGAGGTTATAGAGGTTAGAGGTTAGGGTTAGAGGTTAGGGTTAGAGGTTAGGGTTAGAGGTTAGGGTTAGAGGTTAGGGTTAGAGGTTAGGGTTAGAGGTCAGGGTTAGAGGTTAGGGTTAGAGGTTAGGGTTAGAGGTTAGGGTTAGAGGTTAGGGTTAGAGGTTAGGGTTAGAGGTTAGGGTTAGAGCTTAGGGTTAGAGGTTAGGGTTAGAGGCTAGGGTTAGAGGTTAGGGTTAGAGGTTAGGGTTAGAGGTTAGGGTTAGAGGTTAGGGTTAGAGGTTTGGGTTAGAGGTTAGAGGTTAGAGGTTGGGGTTAGAGGTTAGGGTTAGAGGTTAGGGTTAGAGGTTAGGGTTAGAGGTTAGGGTTAGAGGTTAGGGTTAGAGGTTAGGGTTAGAGGTTGGGGTTAGAGGTTAGGGTTAGAGCTTAGGGTTAGAGGTTAGGGTTAGAGGCTATGGTTAGAGGTTAGGGTTAGAGGTCAGGGTTAGAGGTTAGGGTTAGAGGTTAGGGTTAGAGGTTGGGGTTAGAGGTTAGGGTTAGAGGTTAGGGTTAGAGCTTAGGGTTAGAGGTTAGGGTTAGAGGCTAGGGTTAGAGGTTAGGGTTAGAGGTTGGGGTTAGAGGTCAGGGTGAGAGGTTAGGGTTAGAGGTTAGGGTTATAGGTGACGGTTAGAGGTTGGGGGTAGAGGCTAGGCGTGTAGAGACTAACTTGGCTTTTGCAAAGGGGCCGGCGGATGTGGAGCATCAGCATCATCATCCTCATTATCATCATCGTCAGCGGCGTCAGCAGTATCCTCAGCATCCATCATCACAATGATCATCGGCATCATCATCATCGGCAGCAGCATGATCATCAGTATCATCAGCATCATCATCATTTTTGATGAGCAGCCTCAGCATCAAACATCATCATTATCGTCTTCGGCATCATGACGGTCAGAGGTTAAGGTCAGGGTTAGAGGTTAGAGGTTAAAGTTAAAGGTTAGGGTTAGAGGTTAGGGTTAATAGAGGTTAGGGTTAGAGGTTAGGGTTAGAGGTTGGGGTTGGCGGCTAGGGTTAGAGGTTAGAGGTTAGCGGTGAGGGTCAGGTTTGGGTTTGGGTGAGAGGTTAGGGTTAGAGGTTAGGGTTAGACGTGAAGATAAAAGGTTAGAGGTTAGGGTCAGGGGTTTAGGGTTAGAGTGCCGTCATTTTCCCGCAGTCTTCCGTCATCTTCCCGTCAGTTTTCCGTAGTCTTCCGTTATCTTCCCGTAGTCTTCCGGCAGCTTCCCAAGTCCCCCATAGTCCCCCGTCATCTTCCCGTAGTCTTCCGTCATCTTCCCGTAGTCTTCCGTCATCTTTCCGTAGTCTTCCGCCATCTTCCCGTAGAGGTGAGAGGTTAGGGTTAGGGGTTAGGGTTAGATAGAGGTTAGGGCTAAAGGTTGGGGTTACAGGTTAAGGTAAGAGGTTAGGGTCAGAGGTTAGGATTAGAAATTGGGGTTAGGGTCATGTCAGCTTCCCGTCATCTTCCCATAGTCTTCCGTCAGCTTCCGTCATCTATTCCCGTCATCTTCCCGTAGTCTTCCGTCATCTTCCCGTAGTCTTCCGTCAGCTTCCCGTAGTCTTCTGTCATCTTCCCGTAGTCTTCCGTCATCTTCACGTGGTCTTCCGTCATTTTCCCGTCATGTCTTCCCGTAGTCTTCCGTCATCTTCCCGTAGTCTTCCGTATCTTCCCGTAGTCTTCCGTCATCTTCCCGTAGTCTCCCGTCAGCTTCGCGTTATCTTCCCGTAGTCTTCCGTCATCTTCCCGTAGTCTTCCGTCATCTTTCCGTAGACTTCCGTCAGCTTCCCGTAGTCTTGCATCATCTTCCCGTAGTCTTGCGTCATCTTCCCGTAGTCTTCCGGTTAGAGGTTAGAGGTTAGGGTTAGAGGTTGGGGTTAGAGGTAGGCTTAGAGGTTACGGTTAGAAGTTAAGGTTAGAGGTTTGGGTTAGAGGTTAGGGTTAGAGGTTAGGGTTAGAGGTAGGGTTTGACGTTAGGGTTAGAGGTTAAGGTTATTAGAGGTTAGGGTTTGGGTCAGGCGTGTCAAAAATTCGCCGCGGGACCCCCTCCCCCCCTCAGACTCCCCCTAACCACAACTTAGAACACGCCTCGCCCCTTTGCAGAGACTAACATGGCTTTTGCAAAGGGGCCGGCGGATAATAATTATGATAGGTTGATTCATAAAATCGATGAATGATTTCTAAAGAAATAGTTGCAGTAGATACCGTTTCACTGGTCCTTCTTTGGAGTTGACCGGCCCAAAGTTCCATGAATGACGCTTTCCTCAGCATTTGAGCATTTGAGGGCAACTCCCTGACCGATTGGCCTATGAACTTCTGTCAGCTCTCATATTGGTTGGAGGGAGGGTAGCGCATGGTTCAGCACGAGATACTGCACCATTGGGCGCGCCAGAGGATTGGATGGCAATGTTCCCAACTTGTGCCATTCCAGAGAAATGGGACTAGTGCGACCCCTCGTTGCATTTACTTTTATTTTGACAGCTAAGTGCCGAATGTGTTGTGTGCCTGTGTTCCCCTTTCAGAATAGGAGACAATATAGCCGGGGAGAAAACAGCAAGCTGATTAGAAGGTGCCGGGCATCTGTTGGTTGTTGTTTACACTTTACAATGTGGCTGGCACATGCTGCCACCACGAGCTGTAAATGACATTTACTAGGCCCTCACGCCTGTCAAGATCAAAGGGGGAGAAGGAGACGAAAGGCCACGTCACGTCCCCATGAACTTGACTAGGAGATTTCAAGTCGGATCCGGTCAGTCTTACACTTCTGGCCTAAACTGTTTGCCCCACACTATGTTGCTCCCAATTTCCAAGCGCTCACGAAATACAAGAATAAACCGAAGAGCAATTGTGGCAGTACCAAATCGAAATTGAGTTGCGAAACGTTTTTGGGCTGTCGGGCTGAACATGCAGAAGCTAAAACGAACACTGAACAGACAAACATGCAAATGGGTACCCCTGGGTTCATTCCCACATGCCCTACCTATCTCACTGCTTCCTAAGTTGCCTTATCCAGCTCAGAAACTGACTCGAGCTTGTGGATTGGATTCGCGTAGTTCATCTATGTTTCCTCTTGGATCGAACTGTGGGAGCCCTTGTTGAGCAAACAGGTTGGTCCTGGAGGAAACTGTGGTCAATGTTGACCCCGGATTAGCCAACCCGTCTGATGATTTGGGCTGTGCCGCCATCCAAAAGTGGTGACCCCCACTAAAATGTACCGGGTATTTACCCATCCGCATGTCCGAGTGGCTTCCACCCTTGCACGCCCGCTCACGCTCACGCGCATCACGTCAGAGCTGCACGCAGCATCGCACATGGCAAGCACACCCGCTTACGCGCATCACGCACGCTGGCGTATGATAAGCACATCAGCTCACGCGTATCACGTCACAGCTGCACGCACCATGGCACATGACAAGCACACCCGCTAACTGCCATGTGTTAGAAACCGGGATGTCCCACAGCCCCAGAAACAAGCACACATGTCAAACTGCCTGAGAACCACGCACGACCTCCGAGGACATGCAAAAAACGTGCGGGTGACTGTGTACCCGCGCGCGCTAGACGGGGACAACCCGCTATTGATTAAGCAGGGGTTGATTAATCTGGGGATCCCACACTTCCCATTCGAACCTGGGTCGGCTGTTTCCGGACAGAAATCCTGCAGTTCCGACCAGGCAACCCCTCACGTTTGAGGATGTTTGAGCCGGGCGCATTGTGGCAGAAAGCCCAAGGCGGCAATCTCGGATTCAGCTGGCTCTCCGG